TTCGGCTTACAGACATCACATACGTCAACATTTTTCATATGCTTTTGGTTTTTAGTTATAAACTATGATATTGAAATTGATTTTGCTACGTTTCTTTGGATTATTCAAATTTGTGGGGGTATTTTTTTATTTAAATAATATTATTTATGTTGATTTTCATTGCTATTTTATAATAATACTAGAACCCGCGGACCGCCCGCAAAAACCGCTAAATATAGTGGGTCGGGTTTGTCCAACAATATTAAACCGCGGGTCACATGGACTGACCCATCATGGGTAAAAAAAAAAAAACCCACGGCAGGACGGGTCAAATAGGCTGGGTTTACCCGCTTTGATAGCTCTATTATACTGGTAAAATATTTGCATAATCGCATTTAAAACGCTATTATGTCATTGCGTATGTTGCCAATCAAAACCCTATCTTCACATATGACATCTCCTTTGACTTTGCAATTTTTCATGTTCAATCACTGATTTATTCACACACAATTAAAATTGGCTAACTACATAAAACCTACGACCGGTGCAAACATTGAAAATGTCTATTTAGTTGGGGGCTTTATTAGATTTTCATAAATTCAAAATTATTATGTTGTGTTTCTTTAAATCATAAGGTCTTTTTTCATTGTTATTTTGGTTCTTAGTTATTAGCGAGAGGATGGATCTAGCAGCTATTTACAATGACATAAATTTTTTAATTGACATATGTTTAAGGATTTTCGAAGATCAAAAACACTAATAGTTAATGACTTGTCAATCATTAGTCATCTTTCTCAAAACTCGAGTAATTTTGTAGATTCCATCACAATATACCAATAGAAGAATTTTTTTTTTTTTCCGACAACCAATAGAAGAATTTTATAAAGTAAATGAATGATAGCTCACGAAATCCATTTCTAGACGAGAGAATATATTTGTCACGAAATCATGGATGCTATCTTTGCTTAATTAAAATTATATAATTTGATTTTGAATGTGATATATTTTCTCGAAACCAACAAACCCAAAACCAGAAAATCCGAACCAAACCATATTTTAGAAATCAAAACTCCAAAACNCAAAGAACCAAACCGAGATACCCACTCCAATCAGCCCTTGATCTAAACCGACCATTTTTAATAGCTTTAAACAAACGGACGAACAAAGCCCAATAAATAATTAATACAAGTTCTCGGCCCACTAAAAGCACAGATCTGTTTGAGATATTATTCCATTTCATCAACCTCTCTCTTTTCTCCGTGAAGCCCTAATTTTCCCTCTGCTCAAGTTCTCTGCCTCTTTTGCTGTGGAAGAAGCTCTATCAACAACAAGACAATGGTACACACTCTGCTACGTTTCTCTATGCTTGAAATACGTCTCCGAGTATTGATTTTCTTCTCTTTCGTTCCGTTTCCAGATTATCTCAGAGACCAATCGCAGAGAGATCTGCAAGTACCTTTTCAAAGGTTTGTAAGCTTTCTCATTTCAGTATCGGCCCTCTCGGTTTCTGTTCGTATAGCTGAATCTATTTACTCTTTCTTAGGGTTCCTCGAATCGCAGCTTGTGATTTAGATATGAATCTAGTTAAAATTTATCTCAGTCATCCTAGGATATTGTGTTATGGAAATGCTGAATCTGTTATCTCTAAGGGTTTAAATCAGGAAGATTTGAGGTCTCAGATTGATATTAATGGTTTTGTTTTGTTGGGTTTTGCAGAAGGAGTATGCTACGCAAAGAAGGATTTCAATCTTGCAAAGCATCCATTGATTGAATCAGTACCCAACCTGCAAGTGATCAAGCTCATGCAGAGTTTCAAATCCAAGGAGTATGTTAGGGAGACATTTGCATGGATGCATTATTATTGGTTTCTGACTAACGAAGGGATTGAGTTCTTGAGAACTTATCTTAACCTTCCTTCTGATGTTGTTCCTGCGACCTTGAAGAAGTCTGCTAAGCCCATTGGCCGCCCCTTTGGTGGCCCACCTGGTGATCGCTCAAGGTAAATAACTCATTAACATATCTGGTATGAGATGCATTGGGTGATTCTGATTCAATGACATGGTTTTTGTGTGTGTGTTTCAGAGGACCACCTCGCTTTGAAGGAGACCGTCCCAGATTTGGTGACCGTGATGGGTACCGTGGAGGGCCTCGTGGTGGTGATGTTGGAGGTGAAAAGGGTGGAGCTCCAGCTGATTTCCAACCGTCCTTCCAAGTAAATCTTTCAATCACGACCACTTTGATTTGTTTCGTTTGTGGAAGTTTTATGACGCTTGATTCGTTACAGAGCTTCTAAATGATCTCTTTGGCAATTAATTACATGATTCTGAAATCACACAATGACATGCCATGATGATTCTTGTGTGTTTGTATCATGATAAGACATCCCTTTTTCTTACAAGTGATCTGATTTCCTTCAAAAATTGGTGTGTTGGCAGGGAAGTGGTGGTAGGCCTGGATTTGGCCGTGGTGCAGGCGGTTACAGTGCAGCAGCACCATCTGGTTCAGGTTTCCCTTGAAAAAGCTTTTGACCATGGAAAGACAGTTTTGTTGTTGGCTTTAGTTTTGTTTGTGTAATTCAAATCCGAACAGTGTTATCTACATTTTCATGCCTTTTAATCTAAACAGACCATTTTATAGTTTTAGGAAGAGTGTTAAAAATTCTCGTTTTCTTACTCTGATCTGTTAAAAATTACGCCTTGTCCAATTGAAAATGTTAAGCGGCTTGCTTTTACCAATAAAATAACATGAATACTAAATTAAAGTGTAGCGTGAGAGACACGGTTAATGTCACTTGGGGCACCGATGTGGAAAGGATTTAGGTTGGGGGTGCAACCGCACTTAGAAATTTGCAATTCTTCTTAGTTTTCAGGGATTTAATTTAATTTGTAGTGATTAAGATGTTGGTTGAGAGTCAATGACCTAGCTTCGATAGTGAATGATGTAAAACACCGAAGAAAATGTGAATTGAGAGCTAGCCGAAGGACATTTTCCTCCCTACATTAAAATGATATTGATGGAGACGATGGGATAAACTTCACCACATGGTTTGTGGAAGAGCCATGATATAGAAATGTTAACTCAAACTAAGGAGAAACTCGAATTTAGTGTTAACTTATATCCAATCCAAATGAAAACTATATTATTTTATAGGCTCTAAATGGTGACGACGAGGAAGGAGGAGTAATATCATATTTCTACTCATTTTAAAGATTTTTTTACCATTTATAAGTAATAAAGAATCCATGTCATTCATTTTCATTCTTTATAGTACGGGACAATATATAATAAAATTTTCTATCTAATTTGACAAGGAACAAAAAAGAAACACCAATGGAGTTAACAATCAAATAGGCCAAGAAGCATACCTAGTAAAAGACAATCTATCTCTCTCTTTCTTCCTAGCCGCCCAGCTGAAGTTTCACCAAACTCCTTCACCGATGGCCGGAATCTCTTTTTGCCACTGTGACCGGGACCCCCTTTGCTTTGCTTATCCTTTTGCGGCTCCTCTTCGATGTTTTTCCTAGTTGATTCGTTAAGATCTGGTTGGCTCGTTTGGTCTTTGGAGGTTGTTGTCGTTGGTAGATCCGGTTTGTCGTCGGTGGATCTAGCCAATGGTGGTCTTCTCCAGCTTCTCTTCTTCCCACCCCTCTCGTTTTGCTTAAGGGCAGTTTTGGGTCTTTTGGGATGAGATTTTGAGTCTTTAAGACCATCATTAATGGTGATACTCTAGAAGTATCATTTAATT